CCAAGAAACTACTCTACAGATTAGTTAATAGTCTAGCCAAAAGACAGGTCAATAGACTACTGACTGAATTAGTCAACAGATTAATCAGTAGAATCTCCAACAGACCGGTTAAGAAAGTAGTCAATGGACTATGCACTAGACTAATCAATAGACTAATCACTAGACTGGTCAATAGGCTAGTCACTGAGCTGGAAATTAGTCAATTCACTAAACTAGCCAATAGTAACTAGGCTAGACAATGGATTAGCCAAAAGCTGGTCACTAAACTAGACAATAGTCTAGTCTAGAAATAGCTCACAACTTCGGTCAAATCGGTCAGAAATTATTAATATAGGCTTAGGGCAGCATGATCAAACTGTAGATAAGTTTTACATTAGCAAAAACTGGTTCTTAGAAAAGTGTTTGGAGGTAATTAGGAATCACAAACAAGAATTTAAAGATTTTCTCTTTGAATTCATTCTCGAACTAGTTATTTGGAACAAATTCAAAACCTTTTCCAGGATTTGACATATATAATTTTAACTAAACAAAAAACAGCTGTTCCTTTCTATTTGTTGATCTAGGTATGTGTGTGTGTCTTATGATTTTTTCACTTTAATATCAATTAAATATTATTGAATTTGTAAATAGTTTTTGTTTTTTTATTTACATATATATGGGTATATGTATATTTAAATTGTTTATTTATGGCTTTACATATACATACATTTAAATATATATATTTTTTTGCATTTTATTTTTAATAATTTCTAGCACTATAATTTATTTATTTTTTTTATTTTAACTTGGTTTCTTTGTGTTATTGATATGACTTTGTTTGTTGTTATTAAAGATGAGTTGAGTTGTTGTATTTATGTGTGAAATTTTATTATTTCTTTTTATTTAAGCTTTTTGTTGCACTTTTCTCTATTTATTATTGAAGAAAAAACAAAAAAAAAAATAATAATAATAATGTTAAAGATAAAAATAATTTCTTTTTTATGTGGTAAAAATAGAAATAATGGTTTTATATTTCCATTCATTAAAATGTTCAACCTCATTTGCCGTTGGTAGGAAAAAAAGTCATGCTAGAAAATATATTAGCTCCATTCACTAGTGGCGTGAGTTGTATAAGTTGTAGGTGGTATAAAAAATAATTGTAAGGGTTTTGAAAGAAAAGTACGAAGGTATTAATTTTTCATCTATGTTATTAAAAGTACATAAGTACATATGAAGGTGTTGATCATATTCTAAAGTATAGTATAGATTATATATCTGATTATAGTCCATATAATGTACCAGAATATTCACAGTCCAGAGTCCAAATATAAAAACATACTATAGGGCGAACTATAGGCTAGACCATAGTTCAGACTACAAACCATATTTCAGAATATAGTACAGAATTGACCAGTCTATAAAAAAAACTATAGACCAGTCTATAAACAATACTATTGACCTGTCCATAGACAAGACTATAGGCTAATCTATATACAACAATATGGACTAGTCTATAGAAAAGACTATAGACTAGTCAATAAATATGACTATATACAAGCCTATAAACATGACTATAGATCAGCCTAAAAACGAAACTATAGACAAGACTATAGAACAGCCTATAGATCAGTATATAAACAAGGCTATAGACCAGTACATAGAAAAAACTATAAACTAGTACATAGACCAGTATATAGACGAGTCTATAGACAAGACTGTAGACCTGTATATAAACCAGTATATAGACAAGACTATATATAGATCAGTATATAGACCAGTCTATAGACAAGACCATAGACAATACTATAGAAATGACTATACTATAGAAAAGACTATAGACAAGACTATAGAAAAGACTATAGAAAAGACTATAGATAAGACTATAGACAAGACTATAGACAAGACTATAGACAAGACTATAGATAAGACTATAAACAAGACTATAGACAAGACTATAGACAAGACTATAGACAAGACTATAGACAAGACTATAGACAAGACTATAGACATGACTATAGACAATACTATAGACAAGACTATAGACAGGACTATAAACCAGTCTATAGACAAGACTAAAGACCAGTCTATTGACAAGACTTTAGACCAGTCTATAAACAAGACTATAAGCAAGAATATAGACTATAGACAAGACTATAGACAAGACTATAGACAAGACTAAGACCAGTCTATGGACCAGTCTACAGAGAAGACTATAGACCAGTCTATAGATACGACTATAGACCAGTCTATTGACAAGACTATAGACCAGTCTATAGACAAGACTATAGATCAGTCTATTGCCAAGACTATATATCAGTCTATTGACAAGACTATAGACCAGTTTATAGGCAAGATTATAGACCAGTATATAGACAAGACTTTAGACTAGTCTATAGAAAAGACTATAGACAAGACTATAGACTAGTCGATGGACAAGACTATAGACAAGACTATAGACTAGTCGATGGACAAGACTATAGACTAGTCTATAGACAAGATTATAGATCAGCCTATAGACAAGACTGTCGACCAGTCTATAGACAAGACTATAGAACAGTTTATTGACAAGGCTATAGCCCAGTCTATAGACGAGACTATAGACAATTCTATAGACAAGACTATAGACATGACTATAGACAAGACTATAAACAAGAGTGTAGACAAGAATATAGACAAGAATATAGACAAGACTATAGACAAGACTATAGACAAGACTATAGACAAGACTATAGACAAGACTATGGACAAGACTATGGACAAGACTATGGACAAGACTATAGACAAGACTATGGACAAAACTGTAGACAAGACTATAGACAAGATTATAGACAAGACTATAGACAAGACTATAGACAAGACTATAGACCAGTCTATAGACAAGACTATAAACAAGACTATAGACAAGAATATAGACAAGACTATAGGCAAGGCTATAGACAAGACTATAGACAAGACTATAGACAAGACTATAGACAAGACTATAGACAAGACTATAGACAGGACTATAGACAAGACTATTGACAAGACTATAGACAAGACTATAGACAATTCTATAGACAAGACTATAGACATGACTATAGACAAGACTATAGACAAGAGTATAGACAAAAATATAGACAAGAATATAGACAAGACTATAGACAAGACTGTAGACAAGACTATAGACAAGACTATAGAGCAGTCTATAGACACGAATATAGACCAGTCTATAGGCAAGACTATAGACCAGTCTATAGACAGGACTGTAGACTAGTCTATAGACAGGACTGTAGATTAGTCTACATTCAAGACTATAGACAAGACTATAGACAAGACTACAGACCAGTCTATAGACAAGACTATAGGCCAGTCTATAGACAAGACTATAGACCAGTCTATAGACAAGACTATAGACCAGTCTATAGACAAGACTATAGACCAGTCTATAGACAAGACTATAGACCAGTCTATAGACAAGACTATAGACCAGTCTATAGACAAGACTATAGACCAGTCTATAGACAAGACTATAGACCAGTCTATTGACAAGGCTATAGCCCAGTCTTTAGACAAGACTATAGACAATTCTATAGACAAGACTATAGACAAGACTATAGACAAGACTATAGACAAGAATATAGACAAGAATGTAGACAAGACTATAGACAAGACTATAGACAAGACTATAGAAAAGACTATAGACAAGACTATAGACAAGACTATAGACAAGACTATGGACAAGACTATAGACAAGACTATGGACAAGACTATAGACAAGACTATAGACAAGACTATAGACAAGACTATAGACAAGACTAAAGACCAGTCTATAGACAAGGCTATAGACCAGTCTATAGACAAGAATATAGATCAGTCTAGACAAGACTATAGACCAGTCTATAGAACAATCTATAGACACGGCTATATATCGGTCTATTTTTAGAGCTTTTTGTGAGCATTTCTTTCATTAGATTTTACACAAATGCAAAAATAATAAATTGCTACAAATTCAAATAATGATCAAAGAAAGCAATTTCTTTTCTCTAACAAACTATTGTAAAACATGAAATATGTACCACAACGTGTTAAAGAGGAAAAACCCCAAATGATAAAACAAACAATTTTAATGAATGGAAGTTTTAACACATTTTTGCATTCTTTATTTAACACATTCGTCGCTGTACAGAAACGAAAGAAAAAAAAACTGAAAATAATTATTCGTATTTCTTTTAAATAATGTGATTTAGTATTTGCTTTAATGAATCGTATTATTCTTGTTTTTTTTTCCTAAGGTTTTATTTCTTATAATGGTGGTTTTGAAGTGTTTGTTCCTTTTACTTTATGTTAAGTTTAATTTAATTATTTAGTTTGTTTGTTTTTTCGTTACAATGAAGAGCTAAAATTTCAATATGGCTGTAAAATGTTGTATGTAGGTAATAATGTTATGTGGTATGTCGTAAATATTTAAGACATATGTACTTTTTGTTATTTATATATATTTTTTTAGCAAATTTTATTTTATTTATTTTATTTTTTTTTAACAATTAAAGACACAGTTATAAATTGACGTTTTATGTAAAAATTAATTAAAGACTAAAACTTATTGAATTGAAAAAAGAAAATTATTTAAAAGGTTTATAATTTTTAAAAATCGCATATGTTGTTTTAAATAAAATTAACAATAATTGGTTTTTATGGTTTAAACTATAACATAAAATCTTAAATTTCTTTCTCAGTTATTAAAAGTTTAAAGAAAATTAAATTTTCCTTTTAGCTTTTTCTTAAGTTATTTTGAAAATTATATTAAAATAACTTATTTAGCACATCACTCTTTTACAGTGGTTCTTTTCATTTCCTTACCATGGCTTAATTTTTTTTTTTTAATTTTTAAATATATTTTATATTTTTTTCTTTACTTTTGTAGAAATATAAGATTTTAATTATTTTGTTATTTTTTTTCTTTTGTTTTTTTTTGTTTAGTTTAGTTAAGTTTAGTTTTAATGATTAATAGTTTTTGAAAACAAGAAAATTAAAGGCCAATATCTGTGTTTATTTTTTAAGTACTTTGTTTTTGTTTTTTTTGGTTGTTTAGCATACTTTTAGTTTTTTCTTTAATTATTTTCAAGAGTAATAAATTAAGAATATATTATGAAAATATTAAGACTACCATTAATAATTATGTTTAGTTTATAATTTACACCATAAATTTTTAGTATTACAATTTTGAAGGGGAAAATGTTAGTAAATTGATTAGTCTAGAGACTATTGGCAAGACTATAGATCAGTTTATAGACAAGATTATTGTCCGGTTTATAGACCAGACTATCGACAAGACTATAGACCAGTCGATAGACAATACTATAGACCAGTCTTTAGACAAAACAATAGACTAGTATATAGATAAGACTATGGACTATTCTATTGACAAGTCAATGGACCAATCTATAGGCAAGACTATATATAGACTGGTCTATAGCTTCCTACAATATCGGAGGGCAAAATGTTCATTATAGTAATAAACTAACAAGTTATTCTGGTAATACACCAACATTTATTTTTACGAGTTCAACAACTATAGTGAGTGGGAAGTAGTACTAGATATTAATGACAGATCTATGATATCTGTTGATATCTTTTTTGGTTCTATTCGATATTATAATAAAAAAATCTACGAAAAAACGCTCTATAGGAAACCAAGAAAAACCGACTGATTCAAGTGTAAAAGGATCCTCAGACATAAACTAAATAACATATCAACTATAGGAAACCAAGAAGAATCCACTGCTACAAGTATAAAGGGATCCTCGGACATAAACTAAAGGACATATCAACTGTTTTTATTGAATCTTCAATCGATGATCTTGAAAAGATAGAGGAAAATTTTAGTAAAGTTTTAAGTAAAGCTTTCGAAGTTTCCAGCACAATCACTAAGGCAAAGAAATGCTTCCCTCTATGATGGAACTCGACGCTATCTGAGCTACGTAAGAACATATCAACTGTTGAAGAATCAATCGATGGTCTTGAAGTGAGAGAGGAACATTTTAGTAAAGTTTTAAACAAAGCTTTCGAAGTTTCCGGCCCAATCGGTAAGGTAAAGAAAAGCTTCTCTCTATGATGAAACTCGGAGCTATCTGAGCTATGTAAGGAAATTAAAAGCATTTAAAAAAGCTATAGTAGTTGCAAAAAGAAACTTATTGAGAAGATTCTGCAAAATTATAGCTAAGGATCAAATCCAGTATCTCTTGATATCCAACTGAATACCTATTCCCAGGATGCAAAGATATTGTCACGGAAATTGTAAAAGAAAGTGGGACTCAATTTCATGGGCGATAGATAACTTCTCTCCATTTAAGTCACCAAGATTTTATGGTATGTATTTTGCCCAAGATGCTACAAAGAGCAAAAGAGTAAATCATCCCTTGTCTTCATGACCATGTTCATGTCAATTGACGAAAGGTGAAGATCGTCGAAGGTCGAAGTCATGAAAATGCGAAAGACTTCCGACCAATCAGTATTCTATGGGAGCCTACTTAGACATAGAAGGTGCCTTCGGCATAAAACGGGACCGTAGTCCCAAAATAGTCATGGATATATATAGCTATAGAACCTCCTCTTCCTACATACGAATCTCTTGTATGAATGAGTTCAACTAGAAAGAAATTTATGGTTGATTAACTATTTAAAATTCAGTGATCAACATGTATTGGAATAACAGGTGCTTCGAGAAATTACTGTTGTATGACCAACCTACCGAACGAATATACCTGTAGGATTAATACAAATGGTTTTAAAATAAACTGCGGCCTGAGTTCTGGTGTCTTCTACGAAGAAGCTCAGATACATAAGTATCTCTCTCCGTCTTCCTAGTAGCTGTAGTTTTATTTACACTGAAATATTTGCGATAATGTCATGCTGTAGAGCTCTATATGGTCTTAATATTCCGGGCAATATAGGAATTTTTGTCGATAACCTAGCAGCACTTTCTATTTGTCTCTATTTGTCAGGCAATGCAAGAAGGATTAGTTAAGGCTGGGTCGCCTGTCTGACATTACCCTAATATGGGTCCCTTCACATAGCAACTACTATGGCAAAGGCAGATGATCTAGCCACAACGCGATCTACTTTGGATATCTCTTACGTCGTTTCAGTAGCAACTCCGTTGGGTTCTATCGAAAGTGGTATCCTCAAGTGCTTTCTTCAAAATGCTTAAAATAGATGGAATAATCTGGATACATATAGAGGGGTCACAGTAGTGTGGCCTTCTTTCAATGAGAAATGCACTAGACGGGGTTATAACTCGGAATAATCGGGTTAAATCGCGGGATATAACTACTCACTAGATCCTAAGCAGATACGTAGGGTTTGGGCTCCACTGCAATGGATACCGTCACATTTACAAAGCCCTGCCGCCAATTACTTCGTATCCAGCCTTGGTGAGTTATCTAGGTCAAAACTCAATGACCTCCTGGGATTTCTCACTACTACAGGCTGGATATAATACTATATAATACCACATCTGACAGACAGAGTCCTTTCGACTCTTTTTGACAGTTTGCGAGCAGTGAACTACAACGTTATCCAACCAACCAAGGCCTGTAAGAATCATATTCGGTTTTTTATTCATTGTGTAATTTCGATTGGGGTGACGAAGTAGCTCGGGTACGCTAGTAGATTATAATTATGTGATAATGGTTTTAAATAAAGTGGTTTTAAATAGGTCATCAATTAGCTTTTTAATCCAGGGCCAAATATCCTTAAAATGACATTACCCTTTTATACGATGATTTCCAGTAGACCCATGAGAGGGAACATAATCATTAATAGGCCATCAATTTGCTTTTGAATCCAAGGGCAAATATCCTTAGAATTTCCTTCCCAAGAGACCCATAATTTCCGATATAAATATAGTTTTATACATTTTTTAAAAAAAATTATAAATTATATGTATACTGGGAGTATACATAATATTTAATTATCATATAAATATTTATTGCTCATACGCACTACACAACAATGATTAGAAATAATACGGAAAATCGTGAAGTATTAGAGAGAATGTAACAAAACTTAACAAAATTCGACCCGTAGAGTTTTCGAATTAATTTACAGTTGTATAGCATGAAAGGGGCCAGTAGGTGGGCCCACAAATTTTGGACAACTAGCACAGTGCTTTAGAAATTATTTTATTATTTTGAACTATTTGATACATTGTAACGAAATTTCACGAAGTCAGAGATGAGATGTTTCTAAAAAGATTTGAAGTTGTTGGTCTTTGTAAGTAGGATGGGGGCCTTTAGATCTCCTAGCAATGTTCGCCATCTCGGGTCTAAATTTTGTTTAAATCGCCAAAAATTATGTTATCAACACGAAAGCTTATTCCATCATGAAAATGTTTATTAAACCATTTATAATTTTTTAGTAAATTTTAAAGAAATTTAACTCTCTCCCCTTACTATGGTGTAAATTATAGTATAATCGATTTAAACCGATCTTTTCATATAAAGATTTTCTTTTATTTTATTTATATATAGTTTAAGCTTTGCTAAAAATTGTTTATTTATTATAAATGAGCTTAAGGTTTTTATTTTAATTTTATTTTTCTTTCTTTATCAATTTCTTTTACATCTTTTCCTTGTTTAAGTAATATTTTTTTTTATTTTCTTATTATAAATATTTCAATTTAATATACAAATTTATTTTATAAATTTTTATCTAAAAAAAAATTGTTTTTAAGTCTAATTTATGAAGACTTTTTTCATATATAATTTTCTCATTGTTTTTTGTAATGTTGCAACAACATTTAAAGTTTCATAATAGTTGAATTTTTTGGTTTTTTATTTTAATTTTAATAAATAGTTTTTTTGTTGTTGTTTGTGTTTGCTTTTGTATATAATTTTGTTGATTTTTATGATAATATTATATAATTAATAATAATTTTTATATAAATATTTTATGTAAATACATACTTACTTAGAATTCATAGTTTTGTTGTTTGTTTTTGTTCATTTTTGTTTTTAATTTATTTTAGTTATGTAGTAAGTATACTCGCGTACAACTCTAATGGTTTTTTTATATATTTTTTTTTTTGCAAAAAAAAAAAAACAAAACAACTGAACTGTTGCATTTATAGTTGTAATAAAGTTTAAGTCTGTTGTATAGAACTTAAAAATGCTGGATCAACAGACGCAACTTTAGCTGTCAGAAATGCATGCATACAAAATAACAAACTCTGTAGCACTTGACATTCTAGTTCCTTTGTGGCCAATTGTTTTTGCGTATTTTTTGAAATTATTTTATACAAGAAGAAAAAAGAGCAGGCGAATGATGATACATAAAAATGAAAGAAAAACACAAAAAAGAAATAAATATTTTTGCTTAATAATGTACATATATATGTATGTATTTAAATATAAATTAATTAATTAAATTATGCAAAAAGTGTTTGCCCAAGAAATATTTAATTTTACTCATCATGTTCTGGAAAATAATTATGTTTTCGAAATATATTCGAAAAATAATCAACATTATGAGAATTTGGAAGAAGAATAAGTCCCAGTTCAGTTCTAGTTCAGTTCTAGTTCAGTTCTAATTCAGTTCTAGTTCAGTTCTAGTTCAGTTCTAGTTCAGTTCTAGTTCAGTTCTAGTTCAGTTCTAGTTCAGTTCTAGTTCAGTTCTAGTTCAGTTCTAGTTCAGTTCTAGTAGTTCAGTTCTAGTTCAGTTCTAGTTCAGTTCTAGTTCAGTTCTAGTTCAGTTCTAGTTCAGTTCTAGTTCAGTTCTAGTTCAGTTCTAGTTCAGTTCTAGTTCAGTTCTAGTTCAGTTCTAGTTCAGTTCTAGTTCAGTTCTAGTTCAGTTCTAGTTCAGTTCTAGTTCAGTTCTAGTTCAGTTCTAGTTCAGTTCTAGTTCAGTTCTAGTTCAGTTCTAGTTCAGTTCTAGTTCAGTTCTAGTTCAGTTCTAGTTCAGTTCTAGTTCAGTTCTAGTTCAGTTCTAGTTCAGTTCTAGTTCAGTTCTAGTTCAGTTCTAGTTCAGTTCTAGTTCAGTTCTAGTTCAGTTCTAGTTCAGTTCTAGTTCAGTTCTAGTTCAGTTCTAGTTCAGTTCTAGTTCAGTTCTAGTTCAGTTCTAGTTCAGTTCTAGTTCAGTTCTAGTTCAGTTCTAGTTCAGTTCTAGTTCAGTTCTAGTTCAGTTCTAGTTCAGTTCTAGTTCAGTTCTAGTTCAGTTCTAGTTCAGTTCTAGTTCAGTTCTAGTTCAGTTCTAGTTCAGTTCTAGTTCAGTTCTAGTTCAGTTCTAGTTCAGTTCTATTTCAGTTCTAGTTCAGTTCTAGTTCAGTTCTAGTTCAGTTCTAGTTCTAGTTCTAGTTCAGTTCTAGTTAAGTTCTAGTTCAGTTCTAGTTCAGTTCTAGTTCAGTTCTAGTTCAGTTCTAGTTCAGTTCTAGTTCAGTTCTAGTTCAGTTCTAGTTCAGTTCTAGTTCAGTTCTAGTTCAGTTCTAGTTCAGTTCTAGTTCAGTTCTAGTTCAGTTCTAGTTCAGTTCTAGTTCAGTTCTAGTTCAGTTCTAGTTTCTAGTTCAGTTCTAGTTCAGTTCTAGTTCAGTTCTAGTTCAGTTCTAGTTCAGTTCTAGTTCAGTTCTAGTTCAGTTCTAGTTCAGTTCTAGTTCAGTTCTAGTTCAGTTCAGTTCTAGTTCAGTTCTAGTTCAGTTCTAGTTCAGTTCTAGTTCAGTTCTAGTTCAGTTCTAGTTCAGTTCTAGTTCAGTTCTAGTTCAGTTTTAGTTTTCAGTTCTAGTTCAGTTCTAGTTCAGTTCTAGTTCAGTTCTAGTTCAGTTCTAGTTCAGTTCTAGTTCAGTTCTAGTTCAGTTCTAGTTCATTTCTAGTTCAGTTCTAGTTCAGTTCTAGTACAGTTCTAGTTCAGTTCTAGTTCAGTTCTAGTTCAGTTCTAGTTCAGTTCTAGTTCAGTTCTAGTTCAGTTCTAGTTCAGTTCTAGTTCAGTTCTAGTTCAGTTCTAGTTCAGTTCTAGTTCAGTTCTAGTTCAGTTATAAGTAAGATCTAGTTCGGTAAGTAATATCGCTTCCAAGACATTTTCATCTAATTTCGATAGCAGTCCAATATGTCAAGTATACGGAGATGTCCTATTATTAATTTTGATAAATTTGTCTAAAGATAAAATATTCCAAATGCCTTGTATCTTATATGTGTTTCGATGAGGGGCATGTATATAGATCAATATATAGGTTGGGCATGTCTAATATGAAATAGTCCTTACAATCAACAACAACTTTATAAAATCAAATCAACTATAAAATTATTCTTAATGTTATGTTTTTATTCCATTTACTAATCTCTTTGAATCAACTCAAATTCCATTCAATTAAGTTTTTGTAAAAATCTATAAAATTATCCAATTTTTATTTAATATATAAAAAACCTTTAAATAAGTAAGTAATATGGTTTACTATAAAATAAAAATAATAAAAGAACTAAAAAAATGGCAGCTCAACAATATAAAATAAATGGCGTTTTATACTCTGTTAGTGTTAAAGTTTATTGGCAGGAAGCGGAAAAAATATGAAAAAAGAAAACGAATGTAGGAAAATTGTAAAAAATAGATGTTGTTATTTTTTATATGGCTAAAGTAGAACAATGAGGCAAAGATGAGAGAGCATGGATTTACTTTATTGCTAATGTTTCAATTTATGAGTGAAGCAAAAACAAAAAATGAGAAAAAATTGTGAAATAAGAGCAAATAAACAAAACCAACAACTACTACTTAAAAAAGGAAATATTTGCCAAACTTATACTCAGACTATAGGACTACAGTACCCCGACTAGTATTAAAAAAAAAAAAAAATATTAAAAGGAAATTTTAATAATAAAAACAATTACAAACAATGAGGCCGTTAAGAGTAAATTAACGTCAAACTTTTATTTAATAATACTCGAAAATAATTTTGTTTCAATTTGTTTTAATTGAAAAATACTGTCAAATAAACTAAGTCAACCATATAAAATCCAATTCAATTTGATTCCATTCAGGATGTCGCTTTTTTTCTGCCACTATGCTTTTATAATTAGTTTATTATAATTTTGATTTGTATTATTTATGAGAATATTTGCTGAAGGAACAGTGATTTAGATAGATTCCAGAATTTTCTTTTAATTTAATAATAGTTTCATTTTTAAGAAATCGGCATTTTTATCTACCCAGAATCATTTTGTTTTTAGAAATATTTAGGTATCTCGTAAACCTGCAATGTTTTAGTACTAAACCAAAACTGATCTAGAACTGAACTAGAACTGGTCTAGAACTGAACTAGAACTGATCTAGAACTGAACTAGAACTGAACTAGAATTGAACTAGAACTGAACTAGAACTAAACTAGAACAGAACTAGAACAGAACTAGAACAGAACTAGAACAGAACTAGAACAGAACTAGAACAGAACTAGAACTGAACTAGAACTGAACTAGAACTGAACTAGAACTGAACTAGAACTGAACTAGAACTGAACTAGAACTGAACTAGAACTGAACTAGAACTGAACTAGAACTGAACTAGAACTGAACTAGAACTGAACTAGAACTGAACTAGAACTGAACTAGAACTGAACTAGAACTGAACTAGAACTGAACTAGAACTGAACTAGAACTGAACTAGAACTGAAGAACTGAATAGAACTGAACTAGAACTGAACTAGAACTGAACTAGAACTGAACTAGAACAGAACTAGAACTGAACTAGAACTGAACTAGAACTGAACTAGAACTGAACTAGAACTGAACTAGAACTGAACTAGAACTGAACTAGAACTGAACTAGAACTGAACTAGAACTGAACTAGAACTGAACTAGAACTGAACTAGAACTGAACTAGAACTGAACTAGAACTGAACTAGAACTGAACTAGAACTGAACTAGAACTGAACTAGAACTGAACTAGAACTGAACTAGAACTGAACTAGAACTGAACTAGAACTGAACTAGAACTGAACTAGAACTGAACTAGAACTGAACTAGAACTGAACTAGAACTGAACTAGAACTGAACTAGAACTGAACTAGAACTGAACTAGAACTGAACTAGAACTGAACTAGAACTGAACTAGAACTGAACTAGAACTGAACTAGAACTGAACTAGAACTGAACTAGAACTGAACTAGAACTGAACTAGAACTGAACTAGAACTGAACTAGAACTGAACTAGAACTGAACTAGAACTGAACTAGAACTGAACTAGAACTGAACTAGAACTGAACTAGAACTGAACTAGAACTGAACTAGAACTGAACTAGAACTGAACTAGAACTGAACTAGAACTGAACTAGAACTGAACTAGAACTAGAACTGAACTAGAACTGAACTAGAACTGAACTAGAACTGAACCAGAACTGAACTAGAACTGAACTAGAACTAGAACTGAACTGAACTAGAACTGAACTAGAAGTGAACTAGAACTAAACTAGAAATGAACTAGAACTGAACTAGAACTGAACTAGAACTGAACTAGAACTGAATTAGAGCTGAACTAGAACTAAACTAGAAATGAACTAGAACTGAGCTAGAACTGAACTAGAACTGAATTAGAGCTGAACTAGAACTGAACTAGAACTGAACTAGAACTGAACTAGAACTGAACTAGAACTGAACTAGAACTGAACTAGAACTGAACTAGAACTGAACTAGAACTGAACTAGAACTGAACTAGAACTGAACTAGAACTGAACTAGAACTGAACTAGAACTGAACTAGAACTGAACTAGAACTGAACTAGAACTGAACTAGAACTGAACTAGAACTGAACTAGAACTGAACTAGAACTGAACTAGAACTGAACTAGAACTGAACTAGAACTGAACTAGAACTGAACTAGAACTGAACTAGAACTGAACTAGAACTGAACTAGAACTGAACTGAACTAGAACTGAACTAGAACTGAACTAGAACTGAACTAGAACTGAACTAGAACTGAACTAGAACTGAACTAGAACTGAACTAGAACTGAACTAGAACTGAACTAGAACTGAACTAGAACTGAACTAGAACTGAACTAGAACTGAACTAGAACTGAACTAGAACTGAACTAGAACTGAACTAGAACTGAACTAGAACTGAACTAGAACTGAACTAGAACTGAACTAGAACTGAACTAGAACTGAACTAGAACTGAACTAGAACTGAACTAGAACTGAACTAGAACTGAACTAGAACTGAACTAGAACTGAACTAGAACTGAACTAGAACTGAACTAGAACTGAACTAGAACTAATCTAGGTAAAATTTTCTTTAACATATGAATATCTAAACCACTGTTTTTATAATCACATCGGTAATATAAAATCGTAAGAACAGTTTTATTAGGATAACCCCAAAGGTATTGTGAAAAGTTAAAGTATTATTTTTTTTTAAATTATTGATTTTTAAAATTATTGTTATTTGCTCCAGTATTTGGTGACTTCATGATAACCAATTTAAATTTATCCAATTAAACACAATGCTGGAATAACAACAAATTCTTCTATTTTGAACTGAGAACTACTATCAAAATATCGTTCATATATTTTTATCAAGTTTCAACAAATTACGGAGTTATTTAAGTAGATTACTTAGAAATTTTTTTGTGGCTACCCTAATATCTATTAACACAAACCTACTCTCACACAAAAGTCCCATTCATCTACATACTTACTTTTGTTTCAATTGCTCGTGTTTCATGATCCTGGAAATGTAACTTTAATTTTGATTTGCCATCATCGCTGGAGCCTCGTAATTGTGAGAATTTATATTGCCACACTATGGCTGAATCAGCACCCTCAGCTAATGAGAAACCAGTTTGCCAGTCTAATGTAAGTCCTCCACTCTTTCCATGATGTGATACGGCAAAAGTTTTGCGCTGCAAAAAGAAAACGGAGTAAAATTATGTTACTATTGTTGTTGTTGGAAGTAAATACATAAGTATAGGAATTTTGACGACGATGTGAAAGATGTGAAAAAAATGAAATGAATAAAAATATTGAGTCTTTTTTCATTCTCTTCTATATACACTTTAATTCAACATAAAAATGTCATAAAAAATCAGTGGTGACAATTATAAATCACCTAAGTTGTTTTAGAGAAAACTATATTTCCGTGAAATAAAGTTTTTTTGGTAAAATGTCGAAAATCATATTTTTTCGAAAACTCATTTTTAGTTTTCCCAAAAATATGATTTTCGAGTTAAGCTGTTATGACTTGTGGTCACAGAAATGTGATGGTAAAAATATGGCAAAAAAAAACTTTTCTTTTATATTAAAATAGAAATGGTAGAGAAACGTTGAAGAATTCATTGTTGTTGTTGGCATTACTGTTAAGTAGGTTAAAAACAAACAAACATCTCGACAGTCAGCCAACTGTATGTAACTAACTGCATGGAGTATGTACGACTTGGAGTTTGAGTTGAAGTTAATATTTTTAATGTGCAAAAAAGTGCAAAATGAAAAGTTGACAGCCAATCAAGATAAATTTATTTAGTATTATAAGCATTAAACAAATGTCTACGCATAAGTATATTAATTTAATTTTGGTGATTTTTAATGTGAAATTTTTGTCATATGAAATATACATAATTGTAAAGGAGTCTGGTTAGGAAGGTTATAAATATTTGAAATATTCACATAAAATCAACATTAACTACTATAAAAAATTTTATGAGAATCGATTCATGATGTCGCCTGTGTCACACGCGCATAGTGCAGGTGTTGGGTTTAAGATTGTCAGATATACAGAGGATTCAGCAGGTTAATAAGAACAATCAACAAATAATAACTTAAGGAAACTGAACTAGAACTGAGCTAGAACTTAGATAGAACTGATCTAGAACTAAGGTAGAACTGAAATTGAACTGAAATAGAACTGAACTAGAACTGAACTAGAACTGAACTAGAACTGAACTAGAACTGAACTAGAACTGAACTAGAACTGAACTAGAACTAGAACTGAACTAGAACTGAACTAGAACTGAACTAGAACTGAACTAGAACTGAACTAGAACTGAACTAGAACTGAACTAGAACTGAACTAGAACTGAACTAGAACTGAACTAGAACTGAACTAGAACTGAACTAGAACTGAACTAGAACTGAACTAGAACTGAACTAGAACTGAACTAGAACTGAACTAGAACTGAACTAGAACTGAACTAGAACTGAACTAGAACTGAACTAGAACTGAACTAGAACTGAACTAGAACTGAACTAGAACTGAACTAGAACTGAACTAGAACTGAACTAGAACTGAACTAGAACTGAACTAGAACTGAACTAGAACTGAACTAGAACTGAACTAGAACTGAACTAGAACTGAACTAGAACTGAACTAGAACTGAACTATAACTGAACTAGAACTGAACTAGAACTGAACTAGAACTGAACTAGAACTGAACTAGAACTGAACTAGAACTGAACTAGAACTGAACTAGAACTGAAGTAGAACTGAAGTAGAACTGAACTAGAACTGAACTAGAACTGAACTAGAACTGAACTAGAACTGAACTAGAACTGAACTAGAACTGAACTAGAACTGAACTAGAACTGAACTAGAACTGAACTAGAACTGAATTAGAACTGAATTAGAACTGACTAAAACTAAAACTTCATATTTATTAAAAATTCTAGATAGTGTCGTAATAATATGGTTCTTAGGATCTGTCGTAGTGTATAAAATAATCAGTCATGCCCACTAGAATTTTTTGGATATTTTTGGTGTAATGTTTAATAACCACTTTTTTAAATTTCCATAGTTAATACCATCACGCAATCATGTTTCAATATTAAAACAAAAACTTTTTTATTAGCCAAATTTTATCGCCATAATATTACATTAACTTTAAACAATTTATATGTAAGTTCAGACATATGTACTACATTCATGAATTTATATGCAACAAACACACTTCCCAAATAGTCGCATGTGATGGAAACAAGAGTTCAACTTAAGTTCAAACGGAAATGCAGGCATTAAAAAATTACAGACAAATTGCCACTTTCTACACATAGGAATATGTGAACGAAAAGTTGTACTCAAACTACTAGTTTTTGGGTTCCTTGTCGGGCAAGAAATATAATGAAGGAAAAAAGCTAGAATTAGAAAAAAAAGTTCAATGACTGTTACATTGATGCTTTAGTATGAGTACTAGGGAGTTTATAATTTGAGCTTTTTTTCCATTTATTTTCGTTTCTTCTTGTTTCTGTGCCAACTACTAACAAGACCAAGTATCCTTATATGGGAGCGATTATGTATGTATGTGTGTGCTTTATATACTTGATAGCCATTTTAGCAAATTTTTATTTGAATTTCAATGTGAATCGATAAAGATTTCGTGTTGAAGTCCAACATCACGCAATTCGAACACATCGTATGAGTTGTAATTAAGAATTTTTTTTGTTTTCTCTAATGGTTTTCTTATTGTTTTTGTAGAAAAGTTTTTTTTTGAAAGTGTGGTCAGAAAACTTGGAGTAATTAGTTCAAATTATTAAAATTTATTGTTTATATTTTTTTATAATTTTAAATTTTTTATATTATTTGGAAGTGAAACATGCAATAATTCAAAACTTTCTTTTATAACGCTCTTACATTTAATGTATATGTATATCGCAGAAAAATAATTGACCTATTATCTAAGAATTAAAATACTTATACTTAAAGGATAAAAATGTTATAAGATATGTTATGAATTCTCATCGTACATTTTCAGTGCTTCAAACGCCTAAAACACTAATATTTCCAAATAAGTTTCCTCATAGTAGTTTTCATGTTTCAAACTTTTTCTTTAGCAATATTTTCATATTTTCCTAAATGTATAAAGTTTTACTTAGAACTTCTATTGGCCTGAATACACACATTTTTCAGTATTTTTTCTTTTCTATTATAAATTATGATTGATTTTGTGTGTTTTGTTTATACAACAAATTGTGTTTTTCCAATTTTTCTTTTTGTGTGTACACTTGCGGGTCAATGGCCGAGTTGGAAATATAAAAACAAATATTTTTTTTCGAAATATTCATATAAAAAACTAACATTTCTAAAGCCAAATGAAAACAAGTAAGAAATTATAGTCGGGCGAGGCCGACCATATAATACCCTACACCTTTGACAAAAATATAATGTGATTTAGTTGCCATAATAAAGCATTTAAGTTGAATTGTACCTTGCCTCAGATATACATACTTAAGCCGTTTATTGTTGAATAAAATTGTGGACATTTAAGTGAAATTTTGATGGGTGCTTTTCATAGGGGCTAGGGTCATATGAGAACCTATTATTATGGAATTCGTGGGGGTCATCAAGTCTTGTATACAACTTGGTTATTGCAGCTTTTTGTCGAGATATGAGTATATTAAACATAATTATGAACTTAAAAGCCCTATTCGGCGGGTTCAGTTGTATGGGGGCTAGGTGAAATAATGGACCGATGTAAACCATTTTCAATAGGCTTCGTCTACGATACCTTAAAAGATCATGTGCCAAATTTCATTGAATTATTTTCAAAATTGCGACCTGTAGTTTAATGACAAGTTTTAAAAGCCCTATTCGAGGGGTTCAGTTGTATGGGGGCTAGGTGAAATAATGGACCGATGTTAACCATTTTCAATAAGCTTCGTCCCTGAAACAATAGAAGATCATGTACCAAATTTTATTGAATTATCTTCAAAATTGCGACCTGTAGTTTGATTACAAGGATTACAAGCCCTATTGGGGGGTTCAGTTGTATGGGGACTAGGTGAAATAATGGACCGATGTAAAGCATTTTCAACAGGCTTCATTTACGGTACCATAAAAGATCATGTGCCAAATTTCATTGAATTATCTCCAAAATTGCGACCTGTAGTTTGATTACAAGTTTTAAAAGCCCTATTCGAGGGGTTCAGTTGTATGGGGGCTAGGTGAAATAATGGACCGATGTTAACCATTTTCAATAAGCTTCGTCCCTGAAACAATAGAAGATCATGTACCAAATTTTATTGAATTATCTTCAAAATTGCGACCTGTAGTTTGATTACAAGGATTACAAGCCCTATTGGGGGGTTCAGTTGTATGGGGACTAGGTGAAATAATGGACCGATGTAAAGCATTTTCAACAGGCTTCATTTACGGTACCATAAAAGATCATGTGCCAAATTTCATTGAATTATCTCCAAAATTGCGACCTGTAGTTTGATTACAAGTTTTAAAAGCCCTATTCGGCGGGTTCAGTTGTATGGGGGCTAGGTGAAATAATGGACCGATGTAAACCATTTTCAATAGGCTTCGTCTACGATACCTTAAAAGATCATGTGCCAAATTTCATTGAATTATTTTCAAAATTGCGACCTGTAGTTTAATGACAAGTTTTAAAAGCCCTATTCGAGGGGTTCAGTTGTATGGGGGCTAGGTGAAATAATGGACCGATGTTAACCATTTTCAATAAGCTTCGTCCCTGAAACAATAGAAGATCATGTACCAAATTTTATTGAATTATCTTCAAAATTGCGACCTGTAGTTTGATTACAAGGATTACAAGCCCTATTGGGGGGTTCAGTTGTATGGGGACTAGGTGAAATAATGGACCGATGTAAAGCATTTTCAACAGGCTTCATTTACGGTACCATAAAAGATCATGTGCCAAATTTCATTGAATTATCTCCAAAATTGCGACCTGTAGTTTGATTACAAGTTTTAAAAGCCCTATTCGGGGGTTCAGTTGTATGGGGGCTAGGTGAAATAATGGACCGATGGTAACCATTTTCAAAAGGCTTCGTCTACGGTACCATAAAAGATCATGTGCCAAATTTCATGGAATTATCTCCAAAATTGCGACCTGTAGTTTGATTACAAGTTTTAAAAGCCCTATTCGAGGGGTTCAGTTGTATGGGGGCTAGGTGAAATAATGGACCGATGTTAACCATTTTCAATAGGCTTCGTCCCTGGGACAATAGAAGATCATTTACCAAATTTCATTGAATTATCTTCAAAATTGCGATCTGTAGTTTGATTACAAGGTTTACATGGACGGACGGACAGACGGACGGACAGACGGACGGACAGACGGACGGACAGACGGACGGACGGACAGACGGACGGACAGACGGACGGACATAGCTAAATCGACTCAGAAAATGATTCTGAGCCGATTTTTATACTTTAAGGTGGGTATAGGACCAATATTATTGTGCGTTACAAACATCAGCACAAACCCAATATACCCTCCCCACTAAAGTGGTGTAGGGTATAACAATGCCTCAGAAATTGAAACTTTTTGTATAGAGAAAAAAAAAAAAAACAGAAAAATAATTTATTCATGGGACAAAATTGTTGAAGAGTTTCAATGTAAGAAAATGTTTAAAGCAGACATTTTTAAATTGAAAAGGGTTTAAGTTTATTAAAAACATGTTTTTTATATGATTTAATAATATCTCAAATTTGTGGTTGAATAACTTCTGCAATAACATCTTTGTATCTAAACCACAGGCCAAAATTTTAAAAATTATTCTACAATTTTAGGATCGAGGATATACTCCAGACTACAGTTTGGAACATAGTACAAGCAGTGGTCCTGCCCACAAGGTTCAGTCTGTAATTGACTTCACAGTCCGGCTTATTAAGTTTCGAATAAAAACTAGACAATAGAGTAGACAATAGAATAGACAATAGAATAGACAATAGACTAGACTATAGACTAGACTATAGACTAGACTATAGACTAGACTATACTAGACTATAGACTAGACTATAGACTAGACTATAGACTAGACTATAGACTAGACTATAGACTAGACTATAGACTAGACTATAGACTAGACTATAGACTAGACTATAGACTAGACTATAGACTAGACTATAGACTAGACTATAGACTAGACTATAGACTAGACTATAGACTAGACTATAGACTAGACTATAGACTAGACTATAGACTAGACTATAGACTAGACTATAGACTAGACTATAGACTAGACTATAGACTAGACTATAGACTAGACTATAGACTAGACTATAGACTAGACTATAGACTAGACTATAGACTAGACTATAGACTAGACTATAGACTAGACTATAGACTAGACTATAGACTAGACTATAGACTAGACTATAGACTAGACTATAGACTAGACTATAGACTAGACTATAGACTAGACTATAGACTAGACTAGACTATACTAGACTAGACCTAGACTATAGACTAGACTACTAGACTAGACTATAGACTAGACTATAGACTAGACTAGACTATAGACTAGACTTAGACTATATAGACTAGACTATAGACTAGACTATAGACTAGACTATAGACTAGACTATAGACTAGACTATAGACTAGACTACTAGACTAGACTAGACTATAGACTAGACTATAGACTAGACTATAGACTACTATATTCTAAATCAATAGACTAGGCTAAAACTAATTTCTAAATTCTATTTAAAATTTAGCTAAATATCTAAAAGGTGTGCGGTATAGTTTTATTATCTTATTTATATATTTTGTTAGTTTAAAAACATTTTCCATTAAAATATGAAAATATTTTAAAGTTTGCTTACTTTTATACAGCAAAACCTAAAAAACAAAACTTTATTTAGCAAACTTTCAACCATATTTCAGTATGAACAAAGTTTCCCTGTTAACAAAGTTTGTGTAAACATAATTTAATAAACAACTTTTTATTTTGGGTTTTTCCTAATATCGATTTTAGTTGACCTTTATAATACACAAAATAAATATTAAACAAAATTTTAAATATTCAACCTTTAACAGTGATTATTTTGAACGACATATAAAAACTTGAATTAACACATTTCACAAGGTCGTCCGTCCATCTGTTACAAAGGTAGCTAGCCAGTCATACAATATAATCCAGACATTAAAATTACATTTCAACATGACAACAAGCCAACAAAAACCATTAAATAACCATTGAACAAAGAGCCATTAAAATCCTTTACAGCCATTTACTAAATCAACTTCTAGTTTCTATTTATCTATGATAATGACTGACAGAATGACTACCTTTATTATATTTGTAAAAGGACTTTTTATTATTGTATCTATTTCTTAGTGTAGGATAAATATCTGTAGGTTTTGCATGAGTTGTGTTTGTGTGTGCGTTTTTTGTTTCTTTATGAATTTCCAAAAGAAAACTTACCCCTAACTTAATAACACTTGTTACTATGGCTGCATTCCAACTATTTTCGATGCGCAATAATTCCTGACGTGTTTCTACACTAAGGTAACGTGGCTCATGTCCAGCACTCTGCAGCAGGAAACAATGTTGGCGACTGTCAACCGTTTCCGATTCCTTGACAACACGAAACATTGTTTGATACACTTTATAGACAACCAGAGCTTTTGTCAAGCCGGCAACATTTAGCTGTAATGGAAAATATACATATATAATTTTAATAACAGGATGGTATATAAGATAACTTATAATTTATTATCATTTATTTAACAAAAATTCTTTAATTAAATAATGTTTGTATTTTTTTTTTTTCAGAAAAATGCATAATTAAGATTCTTGTAGAACACGTTGTTATAGTTAACAAGTAACAGTGTTATATTCGCCTATGCCGATTATTATATACCTACAATCAAACAGTATGCCGTAAATGGAATGCTCCCCTATAAACATTAGGTTGATATTTGAAATATCAACCTATTAAGTTAACTATGAACACATCCTTTTCGGATTAACAAAATATTAATTTTTAAAACAAAATATTTTTGTTCAACTTTTAATCCATGAATATTGGAGTATCCCAAGCAACAGCGTTTTTAAGAATTACATGCAGGGATACCATGAGGTAATTTTCTGTAGGGAGTAGGGTAAATTATGAGCCCATCCTCAAAAAATTCGGTAGTTAGATTTTTGATCGTAAGAAACTTATTTATATGGAATTTCAGCACTAGACTAGAATATAGTCTAGTCTATAGTCTAGTCTATAGTCTAGTCTATAGTCTAGTCTATTCTATAGTCTAGTCTATTCTATAGTCTAGTCTATAGTCTAGTCTATTCTATAGTCTAGTCTATAGTCTAGTCTATAGTCTAGTCTATAGTCTAGTCTATAGTCTAGTCTATAGTCTAGTCTATAGTCTAGTCTATTCTATAGTCTAGTCTATAGTCTAGGCTATAGTCTAGTCTATAGTCTAGTCTATAGTCTAGTCTATAGTCTAGTCTATAGTCTAGTCTTTAGTATAGTCTATAGTCTAGTCTATAGTCAGTCTATAGTCTAGTCCATAGTCTAGTCCAGCGGTTCCCACCGATTTTTACTTCGCGGACCCCTTGAAGAACTTATTTAATTTGCGGACCCCCATACATATTTTGATATCTTATTGTTCTAAATAATTGTCCATCCGAAAATTGACCTAGTTTCATTAATCCCTAGGTCTAATAAATGTAGAGATGTCATATCTATAAAATATTCCCGTACATTGAGAATATATAATATTTCAGATAGGTTTTCAATTGCATGTTTTGAAGATAGAATGACTTCTTTGTTGATATGTTAACATGATGTTTAATTTTATGATCGTGAGATCTTTCATGTTCATTTTTCTTCAAGGTAGGGAAAAGGTTTCTTTATCAAATATTGTCACATGTGCTTAAGGAGTCACGTTTCAAAAATTTGTTGCGATTGCAAAGGGTGAACTGTGTAAGTGAGCTAAATTTCGGGAAAATAATACAGAAAGTTGGACTTCTTCTATGTTGTTGCGGAATGGGTTATCCGCATAATATATGATTTGAACTCTTTGTTAAAGTACTGTGAATTTGGAACTTAAATTTAAATTTTAAAATACCAACGAATTATTTTACTTCATGGTTTTTGGCTACATATTTACGCGAAACGCTATGGATTTTCTGATGTTAATTTAATAATATGTATTGGTCGACAAAATCAAGTTAAAATCTGTGTATCACGTCGGATTGGAATATTTATAAAGAGATGCATAAAGAGTCACCTCTGTTTTGGAAATATATAATTTTAGTCCTTGCAAACGAGAACACTTTTGCTTACAATTTGATAAACTTAAATCTGTAATAAGCTTGTCTTTGAATTGAACTTCTTACTCCGGAATACCAGTATCCCTAATTTAATTGTAAGGCAGAGTATTATTTGTCTGAAATAAAAACCATTATTTCAGTACATATACAGGAAATAAAATTACAAATCATGCAATACTTTACTTATAAAAGTTATACAATAAATTTGTAGGGCCTAGCTTCTTCCTGATAAACAACCGAAAAAATAAAATTCAAAAAGTCACAAAAAATTTGGGATTATTGCACAAAATTGGAGATATTTGTACATACATATAAAAGCAGAATATGTTTATTCATGGTTTTTTTCGTTCGTCTTCGCGGACCCCCTAGGATTTTACTACGGACCACTAGGGGTCCGCGGACCCCCATTTGGGAACCGTTGGTCTAGTCAGTCAAGTCTATAGTCTATCTATAGTCTAGTCTATAGTCTAGTCTATAGTCTAGTCTATAGTCTGGCTAGTCTAGCTATATAGGCTATATTCTAGTCTATATTCTAGTCTATAGTCTAGTCTATAGTCTAGTCTATAGTTCAGTCTATAGTCTAGTCTATAGTCTAGTCTATAGTCTAGTCTATAGTGTAGTCTATAGTCTAGTCTATAGTCTAGTCTATAGTCTAGTCTATAGTCTAGTCTATAGTCTAGTCTATAGTCTAGTCTATAGTCTAGTCTATAGTCTAGTCTATAGTCTAGTCTATAGTCTAGTCTATAGTCTAGTCTATAGTCTAGTCTATAGTCTAGTCTATAGACTAGTCTATAGTCTAGTCTATAGTCTAGTCTATAGTCTGGCCTGTAGTCTAGCGTATATATTTGGCTATAGTCTATTCTATATTCTAGTCTATAGTCTAGTCTATAGTCTAGTCTATAGTCTAGTCTATAGGTCTAGTCTATAGTCTAGTCTATAGTCTAGTCTATAGTCTAGTCTATAGTATAGTCTATAGTCTAGTCTATAGTCTAGTCTATAGTCTAGTCTATAGTCTAGTCTATAGTCTAGTCTATAGTCTAGTCTATAGTCTAGTCTATGTCTAGTCTATAGTCTAGTCTATAGTCTAGTCTATAGTCTAGTCTATAGTCTAGTCTATAGTCTATAGTCTAGTCTATAGTCTAGTTCTATAGTCTAGTCTATAGTCTAGTCTATAGTCTATAGTCTAGTCTATAGTCTAGTCTATAGTCTAGTCTATAGTTAGTCTATAGTCTAGTCTATAGTCTAGTCTATAGTCTAGTCTATAGTCTAGTCTATAGTCTAGTCTAGTCTAGTCTATAGTCTAGTCTATAGTCTAGTCTATAGTCTAGTCTATAGTCTAGTCTATAGTCTAGTCTATAGTCTAGTCTATAGTCTAGTCTATAGTCTAGTCTATAGTCTAGTCTATAGTCTAGTCTATAGTCTAGTCTATAGTCTAGTCTATAGTCTAGTCTATAGTCTAGTCTATAGTCTAGTCTATAGTCTAGTCTATAGTCTAGTCTATAGTCTAGTCTATAGTCTAGTCTATAGTCTAGTCTATAGTCTAGTCTATAGTCTAGTCTATAGTCTAGTCTATAGTCTAGTCTATAGTCTAGTCTATAGTCTAGTCTATAGTCTAGTCTATAGTCTAGTCTATAGTCTAGTCTCTAGTCTAGTCTATAGTCTAGTCTATAGTCTAGTCTATAGTCTAGTCTATAGTCTAGTCTATAGTCTAGTCTATAGTCTAGTCTATAGTCTAGTCTAGTCTAGTCTATAGTATAGTCAATAGTCTAGTCTATAGTCTAGTCTATAGTCTAGTCTATAGTCTAGTCTATAGTCTAGTCTATAGTCTAGTCTATAGTCTAGTCTATAGTCTAGTCTATAGTCTAGTCTATAGTCTAGTCTATAGTCTAGTATAGTCTAGTCTATAGTCTAGTCTATAGTCTAGTCTATAGTCTAGTCTATAGTCTAGTCTATAGTCTAGTCTATAGTCTAGTCTATAGTCTAGTCTATAGTCTAGTCTATAGTCTAGTCTATAGTCTAGTCTATAGTCTAGTCTATAGTCTAGTCTATAGTCTAGTCTATAGTCTAGTCTATAGTCTAGTCTATAGTCTAGTCTATAGTCTAGTCTATAGTCTAGTCTATAGTCTAGTCTATAGTCTAGTCTATAGTCTAGTCTATAGTCTAGTCTATAGTCTAGTCTATAGTCTAGTCTATAGTCTAGTCTATAGTCTAGTCTATAGTCTAGTCTATATAGTCTATAGTCTAGTCTATAGTCTAGTCTATAGTCTAGTCTATAGTCTAGTCTATAGTCTAGTCTATAGTCTAGTCTATAGTCTAGTCTATAGTCTAGTCTATAGTCTAGTCTATAGTCTAGTCTATAGTCTAGTCTATAGTCTAGTCTATAGTCTAGTCTATAGTCTAGTCTAGTCTAGTCTATAGTCTAGTCTATAGTCTAGTCTATAGTCTAGTCTATAGTCTAGTCTATAGTCTAGTCTATAGTCTAGTCTATAGTCTAGTCTATAGTCTAGTCTATAGTCTAGTCTATAGTCTAGTCTATAGTCTAGTCTACAGTCTAGTCTATAGTCTAGTCTATAGTCTAGTCTATAGTCTAGTCTATAGTCTAGTCTATAGTCTAGTCTATAGTCTAGTCTATAGTCTAGTCTATAGTCTAGTCTATAGTCTAGTCTATAGTCTAGTCTACAGTCTAGTCTATAGTCTAGTCTATAGTCTAGTCTATAGTCTAGTCTATAGTCTAGTCTATAGTCTAGTCTATAGTCTAGTCTATAGTCTAGTCTATAGTCTAGTCTATAGTCTAGTCTATAGTTTATTCTATGGTTTAGTCTATAGTAAATACCTTCAATTTAGGGATTAAGATAAGAATACGTAAAACTATTTTAAAAGTTCAACCAAACATTATCACTCCGTCTATCTGACAGGCTGTCTAAATCTTATTATTGATGTATAACATTTTTTAATGTTGTTGTTGTATGTTTAATACCATGTCCGTGTTCTGTTGTGTATAAAGAAAAACAATTACACACAAATAAATTTCGATTTCTGAACCTGTGCGAAAGTCTTAAACATGGCGACACTTTCTCCTAGGCATGAGAAAGTTCAGTAAATTGATTAGAAATTACAGAATATTTCTCGTTATTCCCAATTTTCCCCACTGTAGGAGTTTGTTTGAAAATTGATTTTTTAGCAATAATTCTTTCTGTGTAATAAAATTATGTTAATGTCAAAGCTTTTGATTAGGGTCAGACTACAGAGAAATGAAAAAAAAACTGACGACGGAGAGGAAACTAAATTTATCATTAAGTTAAAAGCTATGGCATGTACTTGTACTTAGTAGGTAGGGTCTTAGGAGTAATTTTGTACCGATTCTATAC